TATTTTAAAAATTGCAGTGGCTGAGTCAAAATGCATTCAGTTATGTTTTTAATAAATATTGTCAGACCACTCTTGGAAAGCTGTATGTGCCAACTCCCACCAACACTAATGAGCTATGAAAGTGCTTTGTCCACACCAGGATGGTCCATCTTTTCATTCTTTGCCAAGTAGATTAAAAAAACAAATATTTGGGGCGCCTGGGTGGCGCAGTCGGTTAAGCGTCCGACTTCAGTCAGGTCACGATCTCGCGGTCCGTGAGTTCGAGCCCCGCGTCAGGCTCTGGGCTGATGGCTCAGAGCCTGGAGCCTGCTCCTGATTCTGTGTCTCCCTCTCTCTCTGCCCCTCCCCCGTTCATGCTCTGTCTCTCTCTCTCTGTCTCAAAAATAAATAAACGTTAAAAAATGTTTAAATAAGTAAATAAAGAAATGAATGAATAAAATGAATAAATAAATAAGTTTAGGGGCACCTGGGTGACTCAGTCGGTTGAGGGCCTGGTCACGATCTCACGGTTTGTCAGTTTGAGTCCCACATCAGGCTCAGTGCTGTCAGCGCAGAGCCTGCTTTAGATCCGCTGTCTCCCTCTCTCTCTCTGCCCCTCTCCGCTTACACTCTCTCTCTCTCACAAAAATGAACATTAAAAAAAAAATACATTTTAAAAATAAAAATAAGCGTTTTAACTTGAGCTTCCTGTTATTCTGTGAAAGAGGGAGAACTACCATCCAGCTCGGGATTTTGTGCAGGTGAACTAAAGTAGCAATAATAGGGGCACCTGGCTGGCTCCGTCAGTAGAGCATATGACTCCCGATCTCCAGGTCATGAGTTCAAGCCCCACACTGGGGATAAAGCTGACTTAAAAAAAAAAAAAAGTAGCAATAATAATGAAAGTATCAGGCCGTTATCAGGCAGCTGTCATTGTACAACGGACAATAGGTGAAGTGAGGTCTCTGCCTTATTTCCTCGACAGGGTGAGATCACTTCCAGGCCTCAGTTTCCTCATCTGTAAAAGGGAGCCTGTAACAGTATACCTCCAGGACTGCCGGAGAGCCAATAAGAGAACCCTCCTAATGAGTTTAGCACAGGGCACAGTCCTCTAAAGGCTGGAAGAGGCAGAGCCATTGTGCCGGACCAAGTAGCTTGCAAGTGGCTGATGTCAACTTTGACACCGCCCCTTCCCCAGGTCTCCTTTGTCCTATTCAGATTACAAGGCCTTGCTGCTGTGCCCCACTGCCCTTGGTCACTTTGCCTGAGGAAAGATGAACTCCCCACCACGAGGATTTTAAAGAGCCCAGCTGATGGTCACATGCCCACCTCTGCCCTTTGACCCACATCCTCAGACTGTGACAGTGTCCCAACGGAGGAGGCCTTTGGGACATCATGCCTGCACTTGGGGAAACTGAGGTCCAGAGCAAAGAAGCCTCATCGGCCTTCCCCCGCCACCTGGGATTAGTGCTATCGCCTCCTGACCCGCCTCCCGACCCTCAGCCCGACACCCTTTCCCCGACTCTGCCTCCCTTTGAAACACCCTTGGGAAAACGTCTGTGTCTCCTCTGCTTCTTGCACAAGGTTCAGATTCCCTGGAAACTTCTACCTAGTTTTCCAGCTTTGCTTTTCCTCTCTGAGCCCAGGCTGCCCCCCACTCTTCTGGGCCAGGATATCTACACACTGCAAATCTTTAAACCGCAGTGAAGCAGGCAAACCTTTCTACACGCTAAATCCTATATATTCACCCTCCCACTTAAGTTCCAGAACTGTACTGTCTCATATGGTAGACACTGGCCACATGTGGCTACTTAAGGTAAAGGAAAATTAAAGCCCCACCTCCTCAGTTGCACTAGCCACATTTCAAGGGCTTGCTAGCCACACGTGGCTAGTGGCTACTGTGTTGGACAGCAGACAGAACATTCCCATCATCGTAGAAAGTTTCACAGCCCTGCTCTAGACTGACTGGGATTTTTGTGATCATTTTATAGATGAGCCAACTGAAGGTCAAAGAGATCATGCCCAACGTCACCCAGCCACGGCTGGGATCCAAACTACTCCCATAACTAGAGCTGAAAAACAAAGTAAGCAGGTCAACCTTTCCTTAGATCCAAGGAACTGTGCATATATACAGCTACTGCTCCCCCTGTGGTTTAAGCACTTAAGCACTGAGTGTGTATGTGTATCTTAATTTATTGCACCCCAGAGGCAGCCAGTATTCTAAACCAAAAGCCTGAATCACAAACACTTCTGCTATCCATATCTTTAACCACTTGGGAAGTTTTTTGCTCATTAGCATAATGAATGTCAGAAACCTTGGTGAAATCAAGGGTTTGTTAATTAGCCTGATAAAGGTTGGAAAATGGGATCCCTTGAGTGGAATTAACAGTATTCAAATATGTGGATTGGTTAAACTATCTGAGTCACTCACACCCCAACCTTGAATGAACACTTTAGCAAAGTAGCTTAAAGCCCAGGCCAGTCTTGTGTGAATTTGGAGGATTCGGCTTGCCTGATACTGACCATAAGGCTTACAGGCTCCAAGCAACACAGAGCCCTGACTTGAAGATATTCAGGTTTGGGGGCACCTGCCTGGCTTAGTCAGTAGAACCCGTGGCTCTTGATGTCAGGGTTGTGAGTTCAAGCCCCACACTGTGTGTAGAGGTTACTTTAAAATCTTTAGGGGCATTTAGGTGGTTTAGTTGGTCTTAGAGATGTGACTCTTGATCCCAGGGTGGTGAGTTCGAGCCCTACTATGGGAGTAGAGATTACATAAAAATATAAATATAAAGTCTGTATATAAATAAAATCTTTAAAAAAAAAGATATTCAGGTTTGTTTTGGATTTTGTTTTAATGCTGGGAATTCATAGAACTTACAGGGTAAGTAAAGTCTCTTGTGGCTGTTTATCAGGTTTAACATCTGCACGGCAGAATTTGACCAGAGACCTTTTATCATGGCCTGGCAGCCCGATGATGGACGCGCTACCAATCAGGCCCCCCCCCCCCCCGAGGTTTCTAGGAATGACTGTGAGATTCCAGAAGTACCCAGAGTTGTGTCAGATATGCTGTGTACAAGAAGTGGGGTTTACCTGGGTCGCCTAGCCTCCAAAGACTGGTCTGAACCTCCACTTTACAACCTGAAGTCCTTGAGCCAGCCAGCACCTGGCCCAGGCCAGGGGGCTGCCTCCCGCCACACTTGCTGGACCCCCATCCAGGTCCTAAGCGCTTGGGGAGGGTCAGGGATGGAGCCTCTCTCTCCCCTTATCCGCGTCCCAGGCAGCCGGTGAGGAGAGGCGTGCCTCCCAAAACCAGGGTGGGAAAGGAAGTCACATCAGCCAGGAAGATCAGTGAAATCCTCGGTTTAATTGGAGACGAGATCGAAGGATTGCTTATCGATCAACGGACCGACTGATTGATCGTCAGAGGGGACAACACAAGAGCGGCTGAGGGGGCCCTGCGCCCCCCCGCTGGGGAGAGGAGCCCTGACTGGGGGTGGGGTTCCATCTCACCAGTCACACCCAGGGACAGGGCAAGGGGCAGGCTCTGCTCAGCCCTCCCCCCCCAAGATGACACGACTTCCCATCAAACGGCAGCACTGAACCCACCCTTGCGGGGTCTATGGTACAGTTTGTATAATACAGTGGGAATGGGGACTCTCTCTCTGGGAGACCCCCACCCCTCCTCCTTCCCCTGGCTGGGTCAGCTGGGGAAGGGCAAGTGTATTTTCCCTTTTTGCCTCTGTAGAATAATTTACAAACCAACCTTACAGTATGTACAAAAAAAAAAAAAAAAAAAAAAAAAAGAGAGAGAGAGAAAGAAGAAGAAAAAAAAAGAAAGAAAACCCAAAGAAGTCCCACTCCGGTCACTGGCCGGGACAGAAACTACTTTTGCTACAAAAATGAACCCTGTACAGCATCACGGGGGTGGGAGCAGGTGGTACTCCCCACAGGGATGGACAGACAGATGGAAAGGCTGGGGCAGCCGGGGGGGCTACAGTACCGTGTGCTCAGAGTGGGGGGTGGGGGGAGGAGAGAGAGGCCCTGCCTTGCCCAGCTGCAGAACTGGGCCAAAGGGCAGAAAGGAGGGGGGAAGAGGGGGTCTTTCCTTCCAAACAGTCCCCCATGGCTTGGAGAAAAATGGCCTTGCATCTGTCTGTCGTATTGCTGCAGGAATAGCTCAGGGGGGTGGCGGGGGGGGGGGGGGGGCGGGGGGCCGGGGCCAGAAGGGGACAGAGTAGAAAGGACTTTGGTGCCAGGGTGGGAG